TGAGCTAGAGGGTTACCAAAGGGGTGGGCCTGCAGCAGCAGTCCTAGGTGGCTCAGTCATGCCATGGGCTTCCTAGGTGTTCCTGGCCAAGGAGCAGGCCCACAGTGGCAGTCTCCATTATTTAATTCTTTAACCAGAAGTTGCCAGCAAAGCCAAAATTGAAGATTAGCATTGGAAACAAAATTCTAAACATTAACACCTTGCAGGCTTGGTTTGGCAAAGAATGGGCCTGCCACACTGTGGGCCCCATCACTTCTGTGTCATTGCCCAGTGGAAGACAAGGTGTTTCTGTTTGCACTAACTGAGTCTAAAGAATTTAAAAGAAAGAAGCTATTCTGACTTCAACATCTATTTATAGAAAGTTAAGCCCTTGAGTTTCTGCTTCTGTATCTATAAAATGCAAACAAGTTCTACTACACTGGCTGGTTACCAAGTTCAGTGGAAGATTTTGTGTGCAGTACTCTGCAAACACCTGGCACACAGTAAGTGCCCCACGGTGTTGATGCTGACGCCATTTATTTTGTTGTTCTGTCTAAACTCACTTTTCTGATTTTAAATATTGTTTTGAAGTGAAAAATTGTCTCCTAAGTTCAAATGTGTCGAAGTGATTATGCCTGTCTGTTACTTTGTTCACTCTCTTTCTGTATTCATCCTACACATTAGTGTTTAGTGATTTTCAGTGACTCCTTGAGGGTAAAGACCCCTGGGAAAGACCTGCCTCCTGACGCTCACTGTTGTGGCCACCATGCCACTTACTTTCCCTGTACACAGTGGATACTTAGGTTGTAAATAGAATTTCTCTGTGTAATAAATTTGTCTGAAAGGTTTGACATGTAATGTAGCTGAAGAAAAAAGAAATGATACAGGTTTAACAGTTTTCATTATTTCACATGAACTTTTAGGGAAGATGTTCGATCTTTGAGAGAAATGAATTTGTTTATGTCCTTTGAATAAACACTATAAATAATTAACTTTTCTGGTGACTATATTTTTCTAAGGCCACTATGACTTTGATAAAATCAAGGAGTTTATGACAATGAAAAAAATATTGTTTACAAATTACATTCACTAATGAATACTAGAATCTAAAGCAAGTCATGTCAATTGGCTGTATTTTCAACATTAAGACATGAAGACCTTATAATAAACTAATAAATAAAGACCTTTGGTGAGTACTGGTCTGCAATGTTGCATTTCTTGTAAATGTTCAATGGATATGTACAAAGTTCTAAAGTGACAAGGAGAAGCTAAATATATATTGCTGCACATCAAACAAGTGATCAGGGTTAAGAGGTCAATGTTGGGCACATTTTAAAGCCCCTGAGGAGAGGAGTTAAAAGTTAGAAACAAGCTCAAGAGAATGGGTCCAAACTTACTCAGTGCTTATTGTATGTCTTGCTTTGTGACTTTCAAGTGTACTTTAGTGTTACTATTTCTTGAATGAAAAACTAAAACTCAAGTCTTACAATTTGCTCATGGAACACCGGAGGAAAGTCAGGTCTTTCTCACCCCAAAGTCCTTCCACTTAAGAGCTAGTGTTAATAGAGTTGCAATAATCCTCAGGGATTATTTACTCTTCCTGCCATGTATTTCTTGAGTCGATGGTAGAAAACAGGTAGTTAATAAGCAGAAAATTAAGATACATGTAAAGTCTAAAATTTTGGAAAGAGAAGATGACTGATTACTACTTTATTTGTGTACTGAGTTTCCTCATTTATAAATGGGGATCTTGGACTAGAAATTCTCAAAGATTGACAGTTCATTGCTCAATTCTGCTACCCATATATTCTCATTTCTGATTCTTTAAGCAAATAATTTTTATACCTGTGTATGTATAGATGACATATCATAGGTGAGAGAGATTTGCTTCAAAAACAACCAGTAGCTCTGTGGGACTGGGAAGACAAAACGACCAAAGGAAAAATCATCTTCAGCCTATTTCCATCATTCTTTCTGGCATCCTCTAAACAGCCCTGATGCTGAGTGCATCTTTTTTCATGTATTCTTCAAGTTGTTACCTTGGAATCTTAACCTAAGCCCCCTGGAAGCATCAGAAGTGGATCTGATAAGTTAGGTCCAGCTTTTGAGTGAATGCTGTCAGCCTGCATCATTGCAGACTAAGCAGCAATCGCTTCCTTGTTTCTGAGCAAGCTCAGCTCAGATTCATTCACAGCAATACCACAGAACAGCCCCTGTCAATGGACTGGAGTTGACACTAAAGGGAAAACAAAAATTCATGGATGCTAAGCAAAATCTTCCTTTAAAAGAAAGCAAAAACTCCTCCAAATTAACTATCCATAGGAAACTTCCTCTCAGAGATGTTTATGATTACTGGTATGAAATTCTCGAAAACATAAAAAGATGTTGAGTTCTCTACTAATGCTAATGGTGGAACATTATAGCATAATACAGACAAATAGGGGGATTATTCAAAGCCACAGGGATGGGTTTTTTGAAACCACTCAACAGAGTCCATGGAATTTTTTCTTTAAGACAAATGTTGGCCTTTAAAAACAGAAAAGTACAAGCCATATGATGATTTTTAAGTAAATACTATTTGCACAGAATTCTCCCTGGGTCATTGAAAAAATATTTGACAAGACCTTGGGAAGATCCCATGATCCTAGTGGTGACTGTTCACAAGCATGCAACCAGCAATCACTCTTGAGCCATGAGGGGTATCACAATTACCACCCTCTCTAGCATTAGAGAATTCCTCCTGCGTTGGGTCTGGGTAAGTTATATTCATTAGTATGAGTTTTATGTGATAGTACAGAGAAAGATTCACTTGCCCTCCACATGCTCACCTCTCCAGGCACAATATGTCATCTAAATAATCCATTCCTCTCCCTCCTTTCCTCATGCTACACTGCTTGTTGTCTGAAATAGCAGTGGAGAGATTGTCATATGGCAGTTTCTTGTTGTAACTGAATCCATAAGTTGGCAACTTCCTGGATCTCAGGTTTCATATCTGTTGCTCTCAACAGAGGACACCAAGTATAATACAAGCATTAAGTGTGTGTTGTATGTCTTAGTTACTTTTCTATCATTTTGGGACAAAATACTCAGCACCAAAATTAAGGAAGTAAAGGTTTATTTAGCTCACAGTTTGTGGAGGTTTTAGTCCATAATCAGCTGGCTCCAAGGCAGGGTAGCCTGGCACAGGGACAACACTTCAAACTGGCAGAAGACATCAAAAGCAACAAGAGCAAAAAGGGGTGAATAAGCCTCTTTTCCTCCCTTAATGTGTAAGGAGGCTACCACTCCCTCTGGTGTGTGTAGCACTCACACCACCTCCATGCCCTCCTCTTGCACAGGATGAGGACGTTTATAAAGTGAGGACTCTAGACCCATACTGAGTCCTTTAAACTTCTAGACTGACAAAATGTGTCAAGCATAACAGTAAAAAACTGAATTGTTCATTGTACCGTTTCATTTCTGTTTATTAAGTCTATCATTCATTATTTAAACAAAACTTTCTCTCTTGCTATTCTCATTACTAAATGAGGGTTTTTGTAAAACATAGTTAAAGGGAAAAATATCTTAAATGCCTATTATCTTCCGTTATGTATGGAGTAAATTGTGTGACGCTTTCATTCATTTCTCTAAAGCCTTAGTGATGTGATGATCACTACTACAGCTGCATGAAGAAATAGAGTAAATAAAATGCAACAACTGTGAAGACAATAAGATTCATTAAGATGCCCATTCTGGTTGACTATTATCTTCTTTTAAAGTTCTGTAATGTCTCCAGTGTTTTGGTTGTATTCTTTACTGTTTTGTTCAATTTTATTATAACTGATGATTTAGGAAATTCTTCTTAAGATAGCAAGAGGCAGTATGGTAACCATACTAGTATTTTGATCACCTAGTATTTTGTTTTTACATTATGTATTATGTCCAGCTTTTTAATTTGACTGTCTCTGTTCTGATATGTCGCATATGGTTTTATTCTCTTCAAAAAAAGTAATAAGAACTGTGGGAGTAATAAAAGCCAAAATGTGCAATTGTCATTGTACAAAAGAAAAGAAAAGAAGGTGCTCTAAAGGTTATAACTGCATATATGTTTGAGTGTGTAGGATGGATAACCATATTATTGAGTTTTCTTTTTTTTTTTTTAGATCATTGAACAAAACTGTTTGCACTCTCACTGTTTGAAAGTCCTGTTTGAAAGTCCACTTTATATGCTTTAATTTTGTAACTTGAACAACTATTTCTAAGATGAGAATATGTAATCTATTAACTAGTGATTTCTTACTGTTTATTTTTAAAATTTTGTATTACTTGTACCCTTTTTGTTTTTTTCTTTTTCTCCTTAAATAAAAAAAATGCAAGGAACTTATCCAAGGCCCTACAGGTTGCCAAGAACACTTTGAAGTCACACTTTGATGCATGTGCACAAACACACACACACACACACACACACACACACACACACACACATCTACCTTCAGATTAGAAGGAGTGCTTGAGCCCCTTGAACTACAGCATGGAGTGCCTGTCATCCTGGTACTTGTGACAGCATAAGCTACTGCTTTCTTGCTGTCTTCTTCACTCAGCAAGAAGATGAGCCACACTATCTGGCTCATACCTGTGTTCACAATGTCTGATACATGATAGGATTTAATAAACATTTGTTGCTTAAATGAGTAAGCATACAAAGCCCCGCTGCGTTCTAAACACTACATCAGAAGAACTCCATGAATATCCTTATGTATAAAACCTTACAGCTTTAGAGCATGATCAGAATAATCAGGCCATGAGCTCACTTCTTGGGTTCACCTCTCTGTTGAAATCACCACTAATTAGTGACCTGGGGTTTTAGTGTAGGACTGAGGAGGAAAACCACAGTGCTGCTGACACCGTGGCTGCTCCTGCATACTCTAAACACCAGACTTGGCAAGAACTACCATGTGGTCCTATCAAGGAGGTCATGTAGGCAGTGGCTAAAGAATATTGCTGTGGAATTAAAGAACATGAACTCAAACTTTAGTTTTGCCAGTTACCAGTCTTTATTGCGTGGAACAGATTAGTTTATCTCCCCAAATCTCAGGGAGATTGTAAATGGTACCTTGTATAAACTCGTTATGACTAAATGAGATAATGCATGTAAAGTACCTGGAACAATACCGAGTACATTGAAAACGTTGCCAGCAGTGAGTAGGATAAGATGTGCTAGCAGAGGTGCATGCTTTCAACATTCCATCTCCTCCGTGGTGGCATGAACAGGGTCTGGTAGCATTCTGTCGTCACAGGGCTAAAACAATTATAACTTCCATGGAGTAGGGCAGGTACCACCAGTGTGCAAAAGACATTGACAGAATGAATGAATGATACTGCTTAATTTGGTGATCAGGTTGATAGATGACATCAGTGTGAGAAATAACTTTATACGTTTGTTTCATTGCTTCAATAACACAATTTCAAGTAAAGATTTCAGAAGAATCCTTTTGCTTCCTTCTTCTCATGAAATGAAATTCACTACCAGAAACATAGGAAGCATCTACATTTGTCTTTGCTGAAAAGAAAAAAATTAATTTTATGAATCTAAGGAATACAAAATGTTACAACTTGGGCAAGAGAAAGTCATATATTTACTAAAACAGCTAGAGGTACTGATGTGTTGTCTCTTATATTTGAAAACCTGCCTTCTGTTGTGATGCTTGTGTCTTCTTCCTGCACAATACTGCAGCAAGACTGTTGGATTTTGTGTCAATTCTATCTCAGTAGACAGTTTGTATCGACATTTTCAGAAAAGTTTTATAGAAGGGCTACTGGGGCCTGTCTGCCTCCCATTGCTGAGCATTTCCCTCTCCGCTGTGCATCAGCACTGGAAATGCAGTGGTCACCCTTCTGGTCCATACCACTGAAAGCAATGGCAGAAAGGCAGAGAACTGGGAGACTTTTTCAGAAAACTACTTGGTAAGTACAGGCAAAAATGCACAAGTGCTAATCCATAAACAGTGCAGGTCTATCGGGAGAAATGTGAACTCCAAGGTAGTACAGGGGCTGGAAGCAAACAGTGAAGCAGGAGATGAAAAGCCAGCGAAGACCAAATCAGCAGCAAATTCCCTCGGCCCAAGATTGAGGTGAAAGGAATTACCTCTGGTGCTTTCCATTTCATGTTTCTAAGTAGCCTGGCTTAGGAGCCAATGTCTGGTCTCTGAGAGGAGAAAGAAGAAAATCACAAAGGAAGAAAATTTTAAGACACTCAGATTTTATTTTTGAAGGGTGAGTTACCCTGAACTTTGGGTTGAAAGTAAATTGCTTCTGTATCACATAAAAAGGAACATATTTTCTTCTTACTTGAAGACCAACACTCAAGTCCTTTTCTGAACTCTCAAAAAGTCCATCTCTCTCTTCACCTGGTACTAATACCTAAATGCTAGATATTGGTTAATATCCCCTAACTAAAATTGAGCATATTTTTTAGAAAAACTAATACTTTGCACCCCTCCCTATGATATTCCCATAGAGAGTAGAATATTCTCAACCAGATCAAAGAACTGAGTGCTGGGTACAGTCATGAGTGTGCCTGAACCATAAGTGTTGCAATAAAATGGGTTCTCCTGAGAAACGAGAAAGGAAGTTGGAGACAATGAATGGGCACGTCCACAAAGCTGTCCAGTGGGCCGAAAGCAGCTCCACAGTCACTGGAGCAGCATCTTCCTGCTTCCCTCCCTTATTCCTTATCCTTCCTATCCCTCATGGAATCTCATTTGAGGATGCTGGAGAAGCTGCCTCCGACAGTCTTCAGGCTTCACTTTCTGACCATCTTCCTGCTCTTCTCCCTTGAACTTGATTATGATTTCTGTGACAAGTCACTTTGACTCTCTATTGAAACTTAACACAGAAAGGTAAGAATCAAGAGAATATTAAAAATAGATACTACCATTGTCATTTACAGATGGTAAACTGTGATTCAGTTTAAATTACATACAAAGGAGGTTGGGGATTCAACTCAGCAGCGTAAGCGCTTAACTGGCAAGTGCAAGGTCATGAGTTCAATTCCCAGCAAAATCAATAAATAAACAAATAAATCATGTGCATGGCCAAGAATACAAGGATTAGAATGTAGGTTCTTTTGACAGCATTTTCTGACTGTGGAGGAGACAGTGCCCAGTCAAAATGCTGTCTGTATTTTGGCTGTGGAGCATCCCTGTTCCCACTCATAGACATGCGGGTACTGCAGAAGGGAGGCAGGGCCTTGTAGGGAGTTCTATTTTATTTTATTTGACCAGGAACACTGTTGAATTTCAGTTGAAATTAAATATAACTACCTTTTCATGAAAACAAGCTTCTGGTTCTGGAGCTGTGCAGCATTTCTTCACCCCAGTGATGAATTGTGTCAACAGAGATAGCAGCTCCTTGTCAGCAAGTTGAAGCTTCAGTCTCACTAACTGGATAAGAAACCTATAGCTCAAAGATACCAAATGGAGTTACTAAACGATTTCCTCCTGAAGCTTCTCTTCTCCACAATGCTTGTTAAAGAATCACATGTTGTGGAGTGTCAGCTTTTATGAATAAAAACAGTAAAAATATTGAAAGTGTCTTCTAAAACTTTAATGTTATACTTACAAAAAGGACTCTTTGGAGGCTTAGGTAATTGCAGACAAAATTATATAAAAACAAGACCATATATTAAGTCTTTGTTATGCACTGTATTACAGAATATATAACTATATTTGATCCATCTAGAAAACCCACATCCAAAACAACCCTAACCCCCTTCCCCAAAGGTTGAATGCTGTTTCCACTACACTTGATACAGACATTATCTAAATAGAATAAAAAAGGTCTTACTTCTCTGGCTTAGAGAATGAAAGTAAAATTACTGTCCCTTTGGACATCTCTTTTTTTCCAAACAGTAAAAAAAAAAAAAAAAAATTCCCCAAACAAATACTCGCATTCTCATACGAAAATCCAATTCGTTTTGAACCTGTCCATTAGCTTTGTTCCTAGCTGCCATAATGCATGTTACCAGCTCACAGGCTACAGGGCATTCCAAGTCCAGTAAAGGAAAAGACAACCCAGGTTTGTACTTATAAACAACAGCAATAAATATGCACCACTGTTTTTCTGAATAGGAGCAAGTAGACAGTTGGGTGAATGGACAGGACTGTGATGCCAAAAAGCACACACTCTTTATAATAAAAGTTCTCACTAAATAAAAAGAGGAGGAGGGGAGGAGACCAATTGTACCTGTATTTTTTTCCCTGAAGCTCCTCATTCTGAGACTGACACCAGTCGACAGGAAAAACAGATAGATCTTGAGAAAGCGGGGGAGGTATGTATGTTTTATCAGGTTTCAAACTCTCAAAGCAGGGCCTTCTGAAGGCAAAATTGGCTGTACAGCAGTGGTCCACAGCAGGATTGATGGTTCGATTTTCATTTATTCCACATAATTCTCCAAGAACTAAATCTGCCTATTACCAAGGAGATTTGGGATTGGGTATTATTTTAAAACTTGTACAACATATAAAAAATTATGATTAAGTAGTTCTAAGATTACTGTTTTAAACTTACTCAGAAAAACACACGCCTTTGTGACACTACACTATGTACAAAGAAAGCTATAAGTTGGAGTTTTAATCAGCAGCATGACAAAAGTTTAAGCAAGAGCATTTTGAATGCCTATGACTTTTTTCATAACATACACATTTTTGGTTTGTTTTTTGTTTTTTTGTCTTTTTCCTTTTTATCAGTACCGGGGATTGAACTCACGACCGCCTGCTTGCAAGGCAGGTGCTTATGCCGCTGAGCTAAATCCCCAGCCCCAACATACACATTTTTAATTGTGAGCAGAGAGCTGTGAACAGCCAACTCAAAGTGGCAAGTAACCCTGTGTATTGTCCTGAAGATGCAGGGCAGAAAAGAACAGATTTCTTAATGAATTCAACCCTCTTGTGGCAAGAGGGAGAATTTGTAACGTTACTTAAATCCATACAGCATCCAGATTGAGTTATAGCTCAATGTAGGGAGCTTGTGTCACATGCATAGGACCTGATAACTATCATCACAACAAACAGAGTAATACTAAGGTTCTCTGCATCATTTTGAAACAACATTGAGATTCCTAAATCTTTTTTTCTAACCAACCACTTATTCCATAAACAAAAAGTTAAAGCTCCATAAATAAAAAGTAGAAGGATAATTTAGAGAATCTTTGAAGACTCTTTAAGACATTCTTTAGCTTTTTTAAGATTTTCGCAAGGAGCCAAAAGGAAAATGTGACCTCCATTATTTGACAAAGATGAAAACAAGGAGGAAATGAAGGCAGATAAATCAACAAGTAAACATACTCTTTTTTCTTTACTTTTTTTTTTTTTCAATACTATTCTCACTGTAATGGTTGATTCATTGTGTCAACTTGAGAAGTTTAGAAGTTTAACTCAGCAGGGAGGCAGGATCTTGTGCTTTGTAAACATTTGTGAGTGCTACACTTGCTGGGGGAGGGGAGTGGCCTGACCTGCTCCCAAAGCAAGGGAGGAAAGAGGTTTGCTTCCGCCTCCTTCGCTTGTGCTGTTTTTGCTGTCTTCTGCTGCCTTGAACTGTTGCCCCTGTGCCATATCATCCTGCTTTGGAGCCAGCTGATTGTGGAGTGAAACTTTGACAAACTGTGAGCTAAATAAACCTTTCCCAATTTAACTTTGGGTCTTTGTATTTTGTCCCCGTAATGAGAGAAAAGTAACTAAGATACTCACCAAATCATCAACACAGGCAAACTCATCACTTAGTGTGCAGCAGGTAGTCAGAGCTGTCACCATCTCCTTGCCAAGAGAGATCAGTTCTTCAGTGGAAAGCTGGGGGGCTATTTTTGTGAGCTTAATAAGATAGCTAAAAGAACATATGTCTGTTTTTTTCTGAAGAAAATCAAATGCCCATTTGCCATTGAATAGCTACGCAAACTCAAAACCTTCATTGGTATGTGCAAGGTGAACCTCTGTTCTCACAGATCGCAGCAAAATGTCTCTTTACTCTGTTTCCTCCAGCACCCATCCTCTGCATCTCTACAGTTTTGCTTTCTTTCTAATGTCATGGTTATGTAGATTTTCTTATCTTGGATAGTAAGAAAAGTCCAGCTTCAAATTTTTTATATGGTTAGTAAATATTTTAAAGAGAGAACTTGGAAAATGCATATTGAGAATGAGATAAAGGAAACTAATGAATTGACTGAATTCTCTGCTAACAATCATAGTTACGGAAATACTGAAATCACTTTTTAAATTGTGCTTTGTTTTAAATTGAAGACTTTTAGTTTCAACAGATGCCAACTAGTGTGATAATTCATTAAGAAAACCTGAGATAACTGCATATAATTCATGAACACTTGCAAGAACACTGAAAGAATAAAAATTGCAGTGGTAAGCAAATCTAGAGCTATTTCTACAAACTCAGTTAAAATGGCTCAAAATCCTGGGCAAAGCATCTCCTGCCTGAGAAACTGTTGCCACCTGAATTTTGCTCTGCCCTACCTGCAAACCAGGATGAAATGCAGGATCTTCATCTAGAAATGAGAAAGCCAAGGTCAAACAGAAACTAGAGCAGCAGTTTAGCCTCTAGCGTTGCCTTCATTTCTATCCTCATGTCCAGGAAAAGCTCATGTGACAGCTCAGTGTGCTTTCCTGACAATTGCATTTTAATTCCTTCCCAGAGTTTATAAATTGGCCATAACTGAAAGGCTAACCTAGTTTATTTTACACTTTGGGGAATTTTACACTTAGTCCACTTGTGGAATCAACTTACTGATATTTCAAGCCATCTTCCCCCAAGTTTTGGAAATGTTTACATTCTTGTTGTACAATCTGAAGGCTTTTCCCAGTTGTTTCATTAAATTTGCCTTCCTGAAAATTAAAAATAATCATAGTTACATTTCAAAGTCCAATTGCTCATCATTTTATACCTTCTTAGATCTTTTAGAGTTGCAAATATAATTCAAAATTTATACTGACAATGACTATATTTGATTCTTACCTCACAATGATCAGAGAGGTTATGCCATTGCTGTTAAGAAAAGTTTCCTTGTGAAATTAGATGACTTTTCTATGACTCAACTAGTAATTATTGCTACAAAATATTTTTCAGACTTTATACCTTTTTCTAGCAATTTAGATTTGGAACTTCAAGCTTTCAATAGTTTTCTTCAAATACTTGACAGCTCCTCTTTCACATGACATAAAGTCTAACATTTACTGTGTGGTCACTGGAAAGAACTACACCATAAGAATGGATGCAGTGGGACAGATTGTATCTCCATGAGAAAACAGTATTTCCTAAAATCATGGTCCATTTCAGGACCAGAACAGACTACATCAGCTGATGATGTTGCTCTGCCTAATGATGATCTTACACTGAATCCAAACTAGACTCAGATTGATTAATCACATTTTATATAAAATGTGATTTATTAATCACATTTATTTATTTATTGACTCCAAAGAGGGGAGTAAAAATCTTCAATATAAATTTTGAGTGTTTTATTTGTTACTTTTCAAAGTTTTGAATCTACAAACCTACCACATGACGGTAACAATCTGTGGGTGTCTCTCTGCTGCAGCAATCCCCCAGAAAATCCTCATACACTCCAGTAATTCTCAGAAGCTCTGATGTAGACAGGTCTGGATGTCTTCTTGAGTATTCATAAAGAAACCTGTAATATGTGAGATATTACATATATTAAAACAGAGAAAGATACCCAGCTCCATTTTCTAGTCAAATGCAATACTACCACTGCTGTTAAATATCAACTTCTTCCTCTGGTCTGGTCAGGAGGTCTTTGAGGAAGATAATTTCAACACAGAAGACCATTTTATAAAAGTTCTTTTGTTTTCTTTTAGACATTTTTTAGTTGAGACAACAACATTAATAAAATAATGTAACACATGAGAAACATTGCCACCAGTACTTTAAAAACACACATTGAATATAATTCTGTTGGAGAATGCATCCAGAATTCCACCTTGAAACTGTGGGTATGTGATTTTCTCCTTATTCTCAATCTAACATGGCAGATATAAGGCATGGGTCTCTGTCCATCCTGGCACCTGGGCATGAGGCAATGCACCTTTCAGCTTTAAACCTTTGGCAGTGGTTTCCATGGTCAGGCCACAGTTTCATCACCATCTCTCACTTTGACCTTCTTGACTAATCTGGCTTCCTAACATGATCTCTCCAGAATCCCTTTGTTGCCTCAACTCATGTACAAGGTTATTTTCCAGTGCCAAGGCAGCGGTGCTTCACCTCCAGAGTCAGAGCCTCTCTTAGCATCTACTGTGAGCCATGGGCTTCATCCCAGGGCAGTAATGGGAAGGACACAACTAAAAACACATTCCAAAAGTGTTGCAAACACAAAATGCTCGAAGCCTACTGAGGGGTGGGGTATCCATTGCATTTTAGCTCAGATATGAGCACCTGAGAGACTGCAACTTAGGACAGATTCTGACTGGAAGAAGATGGCGGCTTGCTAGGTAACTGGGTAGAGAGCCTCTCTGGGAAAAACAACTCAGACGCTGAAATTTGACAACATGGAAAGGGCCCGATGAGTGGAGAGGGATCCTCATGACCCCAGGAGGAAACTGAAGGAAAAAGAAAAATAGGAAGAGGAAGGAAAAATGTGGGTGAAGGGCTGGAGCCGGATGTGCTCACTGAGACCCATCCTGCACTGTGCTGGGAGCACTATGGAGTTGCACAATCCAGTCGGGCTGAAGCTGCAGCTGCCGATAATGGGAGGACCTTGGCAGGAGGACGCAGCACAGCACGGAGTGGAGCCAAGGTGGAGAGCTGCATTAATTCTTGGTGAGTGCTGCAAACTAAGTCCTGCAGTGGGTGTGGCTGGCTGAAAGACATCTTGGAGTGGGGCAGAGTCCAGCGCTGCGGTGGCATCAGTCAGCCACCCCTGGCCCAGAGAGGACTGGTGGGATCAGCTTGGACTGAGTCATGCCCCTGGTGAGGACCCAGGAGCCAGGGACAAAACTGTCTCAACCCTGTGACGTCCACCACAGCACAGCCTAAGATGCTGAAGGCACTTGCCAGTTGACTATCTTAGAGGACAGGGACCAGCCTGCATCGTTCCCGTGTGAACCTCAGATAACAGTAAACTGGAGAAGGCAGCAAGCCCCCAGCCAGCACACTTCAGAAAAACTGTAGGCCATCCGGAAAGGGCCTGAGACCTCCATGAAGAAAGATATAAAAAGATTAATTAAAGAAATGCTAAGCCCCTCTCAAGAAAACACAGATGGAAGAATGGAGGAACCCAGAAAAGGAAGAGAAACCTTTGGTGAAGAATATAAACAAAATCTAGAATACATGAAACAGATCCAAAGAGATTATCAGGAAACTAAAAACTCCATTGAAAGCTGGCAAAATGCCTTGACAGAAACTAAAGTTAGCCTTTTGAAACTTGAAGAGAGACTTACAATGTGTGATCATAAAAGAAAAAAACCTATTAAAAATAATGAGGAACTAGGAAGTAACAATTCAAAGGCTAGAAGATGACAAGAGGATCTATAACTTAAGAATAAAAAATGTGAGTGAAGAAGCAGGAGTACCACAAATTAATTACAAAGACTATTCATAGAAATAATTAAGGAAAACTTCCCGAGCATAGGAAAAAGAAATGATATCCAGATAAATGAGGTGTACAGAACTCCAACCAACTACAACTAAAACAGATCTACACCCAGAAATATAATAATCAAGATCCCAGAAATCTACCACAAGAACAGAATATTAGAAGTGGCCAAAGAAGCAGATCATCAATAAAAATCAATAAAATAACAACAGACTTATCAACACAAACTCTCAAATCGAGAAGTGCCTGGGGGGAAATAGTCCAACCCCTGAAAGAAAATCACCTCCAACCCAGATTGATATACCCTGAAAAACACTTTCTCAAAATTAATGAAGAAATAAGATGTTTCCAAGACAAGGAGGTACTGAGGGAGTTCATGGCCACTAATCCAACCCTACAAAAAATACTGAAGGACATTCTAGTGAGGGAGAGGAAAAAATACCAGGATTCCAGCAATAGTGAGAGGCCTCAATGAATGGGGCAGACAGTGGAATGAAGGAGTAAAGTGGACAAATAATAGCAGAATAGAATAGCAGAGATGCGGCAGAGAAGGTAGGCTATAACCTTTAATATAGATAGCCTTGATACACTAACAAAAAGAAACAAAGAGTAGATTAGGAAGCAGGCAGGATCCATCGAGATGCTCTGAATAGGAAATATACTCAACCTGAAAAAAGGTTAATAAGCTGAAAGTCAAAGATGAGAAAACGATGCTCAGTGTGACGGGGAACCAGAGAGAAATAGGGACAACTCGTCCAGCAGCCGCAGATAGGTTGGAAAGTTATGACACTTTTGTGCAGTGTAGAACTACACAGCTAGAAGGAAGGAAAATCTTGTGGCTTTAGTAAGTAAAGGAGTTCAGCTCAAGATCAAGCTCAGGGGTAAAAAGGTTCAGCACCACTCAGATAAATAATGAGTTGACCCCATAATCTAAAAACTAAAGAGCTAGTGGACCCAAAATATACAAAGGATCCTGAGAAAGTTCAGAAAGGTGAGGAACTGCCTAAAAAAGGAAGGCAGAGGACACTGTTAATAGTGTATCAGAATTTAAAAGCCACAGTAGTCTTATCACTCTGTTTAGTTTGATTTTATTTTGTCCCAAACTGTCTACTCATACTAGATTTGAGAGCACAGACAGCTATTCCAAAAATAGCAGGCTATACCACAGTAACTATCCTTAATTTCCTATTCACTTAAACTGAAGCCCTGTATTACTTACATTGTCTTACTATGACTGATCTGATTTGAAGCTGGTTTATTAGAGTGCTGTTTGCCTTGACTGATTTTATTTGAATTTGGTATGCTTGATAATATCAAGTTAAGAGTAGAGGCAATTACTCTGAAGATGACAAGATATAATAAGATAACCATTCTGGTTTGATTATTAACTGCTTTTGAAGTCCTACAATGTCTCCAAAGTTGTATTTTTATTAAAATAACCATGCAATGCTATGTTCAATTACATTATGTCTGATGATGTGGGCAATTCTATTGAAAATAACAAGAGAAAGCATAATAACTACTGTAGATCACCTAATATTGTGGTTTTATATGTCTTTTTCATTTCATGTTTCTCTAGGAATTTGTTTTGTTGTCTTGTTATGATGTTTTTCCCTATAATACAGAAAGGATATACACATAGAGATTCACACATGGTGAGAATTTCTAAACAGCTTACAGGAACAGGTTATATAATGCACAATGTAATGAACAGATACTCTAAAGAAGAAGAGACACTAAGAATCCCAGTGCTAATTCTGTAGTGTGATATAAAATCTAGCAATACACTGTTCAGAGTGATATTAGTCTAGTCTCTTATGTTCAATTTCAGCATACGTAAAGATAAGGACAGCTACTACGAAGAGAATGTGAGACACTATGGCAGTCATTATTGACTTCCTCAATGTCAGGTCTTGAAGACCTAAAAAGCCTTCATCATCCTGTTATGGTTACATTAGTTCTGTAATGTTCAGTATCTATTCAATGTGTGTGAAGATGGGACAACTACTTGGAAGAAAACTACAGCCAAAAGGTAGACAGTGAAGATCTCCAGTGGACTTGCTTTGAAATCTGTGTTTCCTAAAATTGTTTCCTTATGATCTGTTTTGTTCCTTTTTGTTATGTTTAATCTTACCCTCTTTTAAAAAATGTTTTAAAGAAAGGACTGGTTCTGACCCAGCCTTCTCATTCCCTTCCCTTCCTCCCTGTGCATCCCTAAACACTGTACTGTCACAGTAACAGTCACACCTATGAGAATGAAGATGATGATGATGACGGCAGTGATGAGGATTGCTTCCACTTATGGCACACATGTGTCAGACAAAATTTCTAGTTTGGTTGAGTTTAATTTATCACTCTCCATGGCTCATTAGAGGTGACATAATTCAGAAGTAAGAGCAGGAGTCTGGAGCCAGATTGGCTGTGCCAGGTATTAGCTGTGTAACTTAGTGCAAATTTCTTAACCTCTCCATGCCCACTTCATCACCTGTAAAGTGAGAATGATAAATGCATACTAAGTTCAGAGGGTACTTTTTAAAAACCTAGTTGTCTAGTAGATGAAAACATAAAGCTCAATAAATTTTTGATAAAAAGTAGCTGCTTAGGGGCTGGGGACATACCTCATAACACAGCACCTGCCTGGCAACTGTGAGATTGTGAGTTCATTTCCTGATACGCAAAAGTAAAAAGTAGATGTTTATTTAACCCAGACCTATGTCTTCAGTCTAGATCTCTTGCAGGACTCAGGTTTATGACATAATTGCCTCATGCAAGCCTCAGCTACTCTACAAGTACTTCTAAGTCAGTGTGCACTCAGTTCCTAAACATGTGATTTTTCCCACAAAGCCTGCTTCTTCCCCAATGTGATCCATCTCATTGGATGAGAAAGCCACACACGAAGTTATGTAAGGGCCAAACAGAAGTATCCCAGGTGAAGGTCCTAAAACATAATTAAGATGTTTCCTCTCTTTCCTTCAATGGAAATACTTCAAGATTGTTCAATTATTTAGGATGCCTGTGATCTGGCTCCGTATCTCTCTCAGTCCCCTGATCTCTCAGTACAGACCCTCTGATCACTGCCA